GGCTACTGACCACTACAAGCATTATTCACCAATTCAATTTTATTTGTTTAAACATATTTAAATAAATATGCATATTATCAACAGTCCACTGCTGATATTGAAAGAATGAGAGTAATAAACTATTACTTAATTCCTTATTTCTGGAAAGTAATATTTAATACAGTGGTGCCTCGCATTACGACGTTAATTCGTTCCAGCAAAATCGCTGTAGAATGAAAACGTCGTAATGCGAAAATAAAAAGCCCATTGAAACGCACTGAAACCCCTTCAATGCATTCCAGTGGGCTGGAAACTCACCGTCCAGCGAAGATCCTCCGTAGGGTGGCCATTTTCGGTGCCTGTGCAGCGAGGAATCCATCCCAGAAAACAGCGGGGAGCCATTTTATTTACCCGGCGGCCATTTTGAAACCGCCGATCAGCTAGAGGAAAATTGTCGTTTTGCGAAGAATCGGTTCCTGAAGCAGGGAACCGATCATCGTAAAGTGAAAAAACCCCATTCAGAACATCGTTTTGCGATCGCAAAAAGATTGTCGTAATGTGGTTTCGTCGTAATGTGGGGCAATTGTAAAGCGAGGCACCACTGTAATGTAATCCTGAATTCAGTTGCACATAGTTATGAGTAGACATTTGTACAATTATAATGAACAGTAAAGACTGCTAATGGATTATATAGCAGCCTAGCTAGGTGGTCTTTAAATTTATGTACATGTAGATAATCAGAATAAGAAATAATAGACTATAATTAAAGCTGTTTGACACATTCTGTTAAAGCCTCTTTATGATTAATTCCTTGTGAACTTTTGAAATCAGGTGATGATTACATGCATCTTAAGCAATCCATTGCCTAAGAATCAACTTTTTACAGCTGTCACCAATACATTGTACAATTTACTTGGGGGATTAAGAACACATTCTTGAAAGACTAAATAATTTGGTCAAGTAATCCACCTGTAAGCAAAACAAGTCTCTAATTTGTATAGCTACTATCTGTAGAGTGCAAATGGCTAGTCCATCTCAGAATACGTTTTTTCTCACTTTTAAATAAGTATATATACAAGCAAATGCAGTTAAATACAAATTGCCTTTGATTACCCACTTATTCTAAGGCATTTCCCCTCCTCTTCAGACTCCTCCACTATCATGCTTGTACTGTAGAACATTCTCTCATCTCTTCGTTCGTCTCCCTCCTTCTCCTGGTCTTCTTTTCCTGCCTCCAGAGCCCACTTTATATCCTGTAGCATTCAGGGGCCAGTTGCCTCCTCCTCCTCTAGGGGGTGCTCCCATTCACCTGGGTCTTTCTCCCCCCCAATGTCTAGATTTCTGAACCTCGGGTTCTTTATTTCTGGATTTCTCAGGTACTTACTCAGCCCAGAGCACATTGCCCTGGTCCATTGGGAAGCTGGTGGTCTCAATCTCCCTGCTCAAGAGAAAGGGGAGATGGCCCGTCCACTGGGCCTTGGCGGTGGTGTCGTCTTCCTTCTCACCATAACCCATATAAGCAGGCCCACCTCAAATCTTTCCCATATCTCATTGACATTTTCATGATGTTTGGGTCCAATGAAAGGTTAGAGAATGTATTCTAAGGAATACTGCAAGGCCTTGTAAGCATATTTTTTCCTTCCTGTTTGGAGAAATTTGCAGTGGGCACTGAGATGCTGAAGAAATGTCAAGGTTGCCTCGTTTTTTATAAAAGGAGTCTTGTATACTTTGAATAACAGAGGCCTGATTCAAGAGGAATCAGTAGTGCCTCTGTACTATTTATGGTACCTGTACAACTAATGCCAAAAGCAGAACAGACTTGAAGAGCTGTATGACAGTTTTCATACAGCTTTGGATGACAGATGTTAATGTTGTCCTTTTCAAGTTTATTAAAATTGTAATTAAAAATGCTACTGATAATATTAGCAAAGAATCATGGCCGTTCATTCATATACTTTTTAAAGTATTCTGGTATTATTAATATCAATCCCTCTCCTGAATTCTTTTAGGCCTTCCATTTTATTGGGTGCTCTTGATTTTTTTAAAAAATTACATTCATGTGAACAGTATTAGCCCAGCCTTCATGTATTACTTAGAAAGAGGACATTGGTATTGGCACTGAGCTGGCACTAATATAATGGTTATATCCATTGCCTAAGAATCAATCAAATAAACAGATCAATAAAATCTGTTTATTTAACAAGAGATCTTCTTTATCTCCCAAACTGATCATATCACCTCCTGTGATTGAAAATTTATGGGGGAGAAATCAGTCTGAAGTAAAATACGCAAATATATAAGAGATCAGACATGCAATTAATTAAGCATGTGTGGCATTGGTACTGTACTTCACATGTTCCCAAACTTAGCACTATGATGATGATGATGATGATGATGTCACATTTCTCCCAACAAGAGACTCAAAGTGGCTCAGGACACATGCCCAGGAACTTCTTAAACAAATACAATATCGATGCCAAGATGAGGAAGATAAGTTATATTACTTTAGGCAAACTCCATACGTAAGATTAATACAGTATTAAGAACTATTTTATTAGTAAGTAAAAACAAAAAGCTTCATTTAAGAAACACACCAAACTTCATTCTGTATATTTGGACGAAATGCTCTTTAATAAACTTGATATTTCATTTGCATTTTTTGTTGCTGAGCAAGCCCACTCAGTGTAGACTGCAACTTACACCATCCTGTCTGTATCCTGTACATTCTTATCATACACAGTATTTAAAATAATATCTTACAATTGTAAACCATGTTATATTTCAATCAGATGCAGAAAGTCAGCAATAGACATGGGGATGAATAAAAAACCGGATTGCAATATTTGTCACCAATCGCTGATTCGTTAAATATTTAATGTATTCACAAAGGCTTTCATGGCCAGGATCTAATGGTTGTTGTGGGTTTTTCGGGCTCTTTGGCCGTGTTCTGAAGGTTGTTCTTTCTAACGTTTCGCCAGTCTCTGTGGCTGGCATCTTCAGAGACTGGCAAAACGTTAGGAAGAACAACCTTCAGAACATGGCCAAAGAGCTCGAAAAACCCACAACAACCGTTAAATATTTGTTCATATTTGACACCATAGTCTCCAGCTGGTCTCCGCAGCAATGGCCTGTAGAAAGGGACACTGGCTGCCCTTTGCAAAGATGGTGGCTGTGGCTTCGTTTAGAGTAGGGAAGCTGCAGCTGTCATCTTTTCAAAGGGCAGCCTGGATTCCCTTAGCCTGCTTTTATGGTGGGTGGGTGTCAGCAGCACAGCAGGGGGCAGTGGCACGGCAGGGGGGGTCAGGTTTCTTTAAAGTAACCCGCCCATGAATCGATGAAGTTCGATGAAGTTCGTCAGTTCATGGGGGGAAGCTTCATGAGTCAACAACCTTGACGAATCACAAAGCAGGACAACTCGCCAAAATGGCAGGTCATCCCCATTTCTAGTCAGCATTCTTTCCTGGGTCAGGATACATTGTACTTAGACTGAAGGAAGACGTTGTTACCTTTTCCAAACATGACTGAATTGTAAAATGTTATGGTTCTTTAATCTACACCCTGGTTAGAGGCCATTTTGTGCAAAAATCCAAATTAGTCAATTTTTAACTCAACAGATCTCTGTGATGTATTTATATTTCAGGAAAGCTTGTGCACAGCACAAAATTAGTGCAAATTGCTTTTTAGTGCACACCAGAATACAATGCACTTATTCTGAACATATATCTTTGTAGCTTGTTCTTAATGCTAGCTATAGATATCTAACAATGTATTTTTACTATTCTTCTATCTGTATAATGCTTAAGATATAGCTGGTCATGAGATGAAATAGTCTACTGCTACAATAATATTGACAAAAATAATTAAAGTAATATTAAAATAGGTTATAAAAAAGATTTGGTTTTGACAACAGCGAACCGAATAATCAGAAAAGTGAACACAGGCCACATTACACAAGTCAGTTTTGTGAGATTGCTTTTTCTATATTGTGCTGCTGAAATCACTGAAAACATCTGGTAACAACACTTTTCAGTTTTCAGCCAGGTTTGCACAACAACCCTGCAGTATCTTGATTTTGTCTATACATGTATATGCCCACCACAGATTATTTTAATTGGAAATCTTGTCAGGCCAAGTATAGGTTAAAAACAGTAGCTGAAAATAAATAGCCTTGGGCCTCTAAAGGACCCACATCAAAACTACATAGAAGACAGGAATATCCCAGCCAAACAGTCAACTCACAGGCTAGCCCTTCTATAAAAAGGCCAGCTATATCAACTTTTGTGTTTATACTAAAAGGACTACTTGGAGGTCTGAGAAGAAGGAACATCCAAGAATGGTCTGTCCATCTTCTTCCTGTTTAGTCAAATGGACTATTCGATTATGACTGTCCCAGAAGAAGACGCATGACTAACAGGAGGCCAGACCACATTAGTCAACTTGGCCAAAACCAGATAAAACAAGACACAACAGTAGCCATATTGATTTTTCTGGGGGAGGGTTCTGAGGTGAATCGTCGGGGTGAATCTTTGTGCTGTGTCTACCTGAACTCTGCTCCAGCTGATCCTTGCCATCCAGAATCTCAATGCTCCCTAGCTTAAAGACAGTCTAATGAGATCAAGGAGAGGTTATCTTTGTCATCCCTAATCTATCTAACTGGGAGTAATTTCCTCACACATTAGTGGCTCCTATTTTCTCACTCTATGTGTGATTTAGGAAAAAAATCCTTCTGTTTTTACTTTTTTCATCCATATAGCATTTCTGCAAATAGTCTGCTCTGGCAATGAAGAACTTCACAGTGAATCCCAAATCTCAGAACCCTATTAGCCATATGAGTTTGCTTCTTCTGACCCTATATTTCCCCATATTTATTATACATTCTATTGCTTAATATTTGCTATTTCCTGATATAATAATTGTGTGTGTTTTAATTTTAGTTGCTCCTCTTGGGAATAGCTCAGTGTGAATGTGATCTACTCAGCCCAATATGTGTCAAGATGCACCACTATCACAGTTCAAAGATCTATAAACCAACAAGACAGTAGTCATTTACTGATATAAAATAAATCAAATTTAGTATACAAGGCAACTACTTATTATACATGTTTATTTCTCCACCCAGAAAATGGTATTTACCTCTTCCAGAAGAGACTCACTCAACTATGCTTTCAAAAATTTACAAAAAGTTGACATCTTGATTGTTTTTCAATCCAGTTATAATATGTACTACTCATAAAGGGCCCGTATCTTACTATTCAAGCCTGGGCTTCCCCATTGTAAGGGGCTAGTGCAAAGTCTATGGATCTTTTAGTCATGTTAAGGGATCAGTCTGTGGAAAACCACATTTGCCTTATCCAGTCTTTCTCCACTTACTGTCTCTAACTCTTAATTATCTTTAAAGCTCAGGGAAAATTTGCACATAAGCTGAAGTAAAACACCAATGAACAACATGAACCACTACATCTGCACTGGCCCAAGAAGACAGCTAAGAAATTGCTCTCTTAAAACAGCTTTTACTGAGCCCAGAAGTAGAGCAGGAAGAGAAATATTTCAAATTACAGGGACCAGCCCTGTACTGAACTATAAAACAGGCTGTAAAGTTAGAAATCTGATCAAGCTGCAAAGCCTTAACAGCAGTAGGATATCCAAATTTTGCTTAATCAAGAGCAAAGAAACTTCATCTCTCTGAAATCAATGCATATCATGTCATCAAAAACATAAAAAAGATATCTATGCACAAATATTTTAGAATCAGGATTTCATTGATTAAGTCCTTGTTAAAAACAAAACAAAAAATGAAGAGATGAGAAAAAAAGTCTAATATGTACCAAATAAAGAAGCTTTGATTTGACTTCATAATTATTAACACAACGTCTAGACAATGGTAACACTGATATGCTGAGAAGGACAGAGAAAATCCCTTTGGCAATAAATGCCACCTCTGCTTTGATGAGTTCATTTGGTATAAATAGGAGTTCTCATAGAACTACCATTGTAATTGCAAACAGTCCTGTAAATAAAGTTATCTGTGTAACAGAAAACAACACAGACCAAGATGGTAAAAATTGAGTTGCGCATAGTGTCTGATTTCTTTTCAAAACAGAGCTAATTTACAGTACCTTATTAACAAAAGGATGCATCTGCTTCCCAGTCAAGCTGTTAGGTTTAAAGTCAGTGCATATCAGAAAGACACATTTGCCATCTACATCAACACTTGGCTTATGGGCGCTGAACCAGCTTGCTCTTGTTCCCATCTTGTTCACTGAGCTTGAAATGGGTGTAAGCTAGAATGCCAAACAACGTGCATGTAATTCCAAGGCCTTGATTAATTGACAAAGGATCTTTAAATAAAATATACCCTCCCATCAGGGTGATACAGAATTTGAAGTGTCCAAACATATTGTAGCTACACAGTTCTGTTAAGGAACATACATACACCGAAAGATGATGATACGTAAAACATGCTGAAGATTTTTTATTTATACTGCTAGGGATTGTAATCCTCTACCAAGTTTGACTTAAATCTCTTGTAGTCAATGAGGTATAAATGCCTAATTTTGTGCCTAATTTTGCACAGGGACATGCTTTCTGGTCACCTCCATCTTGTTAACCCAGGATTTTGGTTCTCACATAGTTCTCTGCCACTATAAAACAATATCAGCTCTACATGGTTTCTAGAATGATATTAATTTTGTATACTTTGGGAATTTGTGCTATTTTGGAGAGATCTGTATCCAAAGGCAGAAAAATCATTCTAGCAGAATCAAATCCAACTGCTTAACATTCTTAAGGTATACATAAGAACTTAAGAAGAGCCCTGCTGGATCAGGCAAAGGGCCCATCTAGTCCAGCTTCCTGTATCTCACAGTAGCCCCACCAGATGACTCTGAGACCATACCAGACAACTAGATACCTGTCTCCTGATACCACTCCCCTGCATCTGGAGGTACGTCCCTTCTAAGCCTGGAGGTTTTACATCCCCATCATGGCATGTAACCTGTGACAGACTTTTCCTCCAGAAATGTATCCAATCCCTTTTTAAAGGCATCTATGCCAGATACCATCACCACATCCTGTGCCAAGGCGATCCACAGACTAACAACACGCTGGGGAAAGATATATTTTCCTTTGTCTGTTCTCACTCTCCCAACGCTCAATTTGAGTGGATGTCCCCTGGTTCTGGTATTGTGTGAGAAGGAAAAAAGCTTCCCTTTATCCCCTTTATCCATCCTCTGCATCATTGTATACATCTCAATCATGTCCCCCCCTCAGGTGCCTTTTCTGTAGACTAAAGAGCCCCAAACGTTGTAGCCTTTCCTCATAAGGGAGGTGCCCCAGCCCTGTCATCATTTTAGTTGCTCTTTTCTGCACTTTTTCCAGTTCCACTATTATTATTATTTTATTTTTTTAAGGTAAGGCAACCAGAACTGTACTCAATACTCCAGGTGCAGCCTTACCAGTGTTTTGTACAATGAAATTTTAATGTCTGCTCTTTTATTTTCAATCCCCTTTTTAATGATACCTAGCATGGAATTGGCCTTCTTCACCGCCGCTGCTACACACTGGGTTGACACTCTGCGGTGATGAACGAAGGGGTACAAACAAGTAAGGGGAGAGAACTGGAGAGCCCCATACCCAATAGGATACAGCACAGTTTTTGGAATGTGCCCTTCCAGACTTGCATTCATGATGAAGGTATAATTTTTAGTTACATCACATTTTTAAAACTTTATCAAAGATGCCATCCTAAAAACTACAGAGTATTTTTTTAGCTGAAAGTAAGAGAAATGATGAAGAAAATGGAAAAGGATACGTTACTGGTGAAGTATTTCCAATGATCCAGTAAATAGACAAGTTCACCATAAAAGCTATTATTCCAGAGAGCAGCACCATAAACTGTAGATTAATAAAACAAAATTAATGTAATACTCCAACATGTTTCAAGGTGTCACTGTATTAAAAAAAATTCTGGACAGCTATGGCAGAGTTATTTCTCTCCTACATTGGTATTTATTTTTCAGATTAAGGAGAATTGCCAGATCATTATTAAATCTAATCATATTTATATCCTGCCTGTGTCTGATGAATCTTATGGCAGTGCACAGGGGGATCCTATCAAGACAGTGACCAGACCAAGCAAGAGTTCTCCACCATGTGACTTCAACCCAATCCTCAGGGAAGTATAGTAAGCAACACACTCTGTAACTATCATCTGTTGAATTGTTAAGTGTAAGTTTTATAATCCATTTAATAGTTTAGACCCCCTCTACATAATTCCTATTACCTGCCCTTGCAAAAATCAGGAGATTATAAATCAGTGCCTAAATCCAATGCTTTAGTTTAGAACACTCCTGTGTTTTCAAGGCTGGATGATTTTCTCATATATCTGAAATGGGTGATCAAGAAGTTGAAGATCTTCCACCTGGAGTGCCACAATTACTGCACATTTCATGCTGACTGTGCTACTTAATAGACTCAAGCACATGTGCTTAAATGGCGAGAGGCTAAGAACTCCCACTCCCAGCCCCCAAAATAAAGAAGCCTTACCACAGCAGGAAGTGTCCAGGGACCAAAAATTCCTCCTTCCCCAAAAACAGGTTCAAAGAAGGGCACAATGCATAACAGCATGCCACAAGACATTGGAGCTTGATAGTAGAGCAACTGCATAGAGTTTACTTGTAGCTCATGTTGCTTTGCTCCTACCCACTGAAACCAAGAAAAATACAAGAATAAGTTGCAAGTAACATCCAGCTTTAGTACAAAAGAAAACCATGAGTCACCTCACCAAATCATTGTGTTGATACAATTTTCCCCCAGAAATTCGTACAGATCAACACAGCCTCATTTACCCATATTAATTGGCAGAACATCTAAAGCTGCTAGAAGTTTAGAATTTTCGATCAATGGAGCTTCTGTTATGTAGACTTGCAGTGACAGAAAAAAAATACTTATTTCATATATTTTTACACCACCCTTTTCTGGGCAGTTAACAATAAAATCAAACAGAAATAACAACAAATCAAACAATAACACCTATAAAATAGAAGAACAGATCAAATCAACCTGAGGGTCTAGAAAAGCTAGATCTTTGCTGGGATCTAGCAAAAAAGGGCTAAGTTTAGATCTAAAAGTTGTTACAATGCAGTACCTGACTGCTAGTCCTAACTAAATTAGACCAAATGAAACCAAATGTAGGATGTTAAGTCAACACTCAGGTAAATTCCACTCAGTGTACCGTTGTACTCTAGTGGTGCACTAGCAAAAGGAGACCTTTGTTCCAATTGCTACTATTTGACCTTTGTTCTTTCAAATCAGGGGTCTCCAAAGTTTTCACCATGTGGGCCACATAATATATTTTCCAAATTTTTGAGGGCCAAAGGAACATATGCGAGCATGTGTATCTGATTGGCCCACCTGCAAGGGGTGGATAAAAAGGCACAGTGGCCGCAAGTGGCCCACGGGCCGTACTTTGCAAACCCCTCTTTCAAATTATTAGGTGATATTAGGGACTAGAAATAATGACTACTGCAAGCCAGCACATCAGTTACCTAAGCAAGCATGCGTATGAAATGGTTGAAGAAGCAGTTAGCACATAGTGGCTACCCACGTAGAAGAGTTTTTATGCCACCTAGGTATTCAAGAAGGGACGTGGTGGCGCTGCGGGCTAAACCGCAGAAGCCTGTGCTGCAGCGTCAGAAGACCAAGCAGTCGTAAGATCGAATCCACGCGACGGAGTGAGCGCCCGTTGCTTGTCCCAGCTCCCGCCAACCTAGCGGTTCGAAAGCATGCAAATGCGAGTAGATAAATAGGTACCATCTCGGTGGGAAGGTAAACAGCGTTCCGTGTCTAAATCACACTGGCCATGTGACCACGGAAAGATTGTCTTCGGACAAAACGCTGGCTCTATGGCTTGAAGAGCGGGATGAGCGCCGCCCCCTAAAGTCGGACACGACTGGACAAAAAATGTCAAGGGGAACCTTTACCTTTACCTAGGTATTCAAGAGGGTTGTATACATCGTTCTTCTTGAACAGGGGTCTCCAAATTACAGCCCACGGGCCATAACCAGCTCACTTGCCCTTTTTATCCAGTTCAGGCATAGGAAGAGGTGGGAAAGGGGACTCAAGCGATCCCCCATCCCTGGGGTGGAGGGTCGCTGGGGTTCTCCTTCCCACCTCTTCCTATGCCCGAGCGGGGATAGGAACAGGAGTGAAGTCTGATGTAAGTGTTCCGCCACCCCCTCTGTCTTTGCAAAGATAGCATGGGCGGGGCATTGCTTGGGTCCCCCTTTCCTCCTTAGGCCCTCAAAAATGTGTAAAATATATGATGTGGCCCTCCTCTTGAAAAGTTTAAAGACCCCTGTTCTTGAACATCAGAAATCTGTTTCCTTTTGGAGCTTTCAGTTTTTTGGATTGTAAAGCTGAGAATAATTTTGAAAAATATTTTTCTGTATATGGTGCTGTGAAAATAATGTCAGCCCTTTCAGCTAAAAATGACTAGTATGTTTGTATTATAAACAATTCCTTTCTGAACCTTATTCTTGTAAAGAAGGAGGCACCTCTTATATTTGTATTTTAAAATCTTACATAAAACATGATTTTTATGTTTCAAAAGCAATGGATTTTTATCTACACTGGAGAAGCTTGAATTAGAATTCTGCTCAGTCACAAAATGGTGGTCTTTTAAAAGTATTTTGTGCTTTATCTCTCATTTTGTTGCAGTGGGAATAACATCTATCTTCCTCACATAAATTATTGCGAAGTTAACTAACTAGGATAAAGAAGGCCCCATACAGGGAGGACAAATAGCAACTTTGGACAAATAGGTTAAATAAAGGCCATTTCAAAGTACAGCAGTGCAAGACTTTACTACAGGCGTCATCAACTCCTTTCATGTTCATGCACAGCTACAAATTCTGAATGGAGTACAAACAAAAAGGAAGTGTAGCTGCAGTTTCATAATTCTGTAGGCTATTGCATAGGAAGCTTAGAGTACTTCCTAATTTTTTTAAAAAAAGCAAATGGTGCACATTTCACTTTAAAATGAAGAATGCAGCACATAAAATACACATACAGATTTTTACCTGTGGCTTGCAGATAAATGGTTTTGGTTATCTTGTATCATTTCCTAGTTTACTATAGTCAAGGCTACTGCAAAATTATGTTAGTGTTAAGAGTCTTGCCAAATAAAAGAGCAATAAGAGATGTGCATGCCAACACTAGTGAGAGAATGGAACTGATCAGCATTGCATCAACATGCCTGTCCCCCTCCCTGCAAAAATTAGGAAAAGGCTCTGTGGTCCAGAAATGCAAGAGCAGGTGATACCTTTATCAGACCAGTAAAAAAATCAAACAGTAAACTTTTTTGGATAAAATCCCACTTCTTCAGGCTTATGCACCAATATTTATGGATAGTGCAGAAAAATTGTCAATAAAAGTCCCCAAAATTCATGGCAGGTGGCTGTGCTAGGTCTGAGGGGAGTTAAAACCAAGACCGCAGACCAACCCTGGGGCACAATCTCGGGCCTCACCTCAGGCAACATGTTTGAAATGTTGAAACTTTATGTTTCAAAATCAGGCAATGTGTGGCTATGGAGGAGGGGCAATCACAGAGGGATTGGCAAACCTTTGTCTAAAAAAATTGGGTGGAAAATTGCACCTACGATGACAGAGGTGGGGCTTGAGACCACATCCTAGGGACGGCTTTTTGGTTTGAAGTCACTACAAGCAGACCTGACTTAGACACCTGCCTTGATTTTTTGGGACATTTATTTATCATTTTTCTGCACTATCCATAAATATTGGTACAGTATATAACCTTGAAGAAGTGTGATTTTATCCATAAAATCTTGCTGTTTGATTTTTTTTTAGTGTTCTAAATAAGTGCCTACTATTGCAATTATATCAACCTGGTTATTATTCTAAATCCAAATCAGCATACTGCTTAAGGCTATTGTTATTACTTACCACTTGATAAAGAGATGTAACTAGAACACCAAGAGAGGCAAATACCATCCCAAGAAGATTAAATTTCACATCATAATAGGAATTTAGAAAAACACCTAATGTGATAGGAATCTGTAGGAGAGGGAGAGAGATAAATTAGTGTTATATTTTCTACGCATTTGCTGTCACTAGAACTCACGAAGAAACAGCTTCCTTATTCATATTGTCACAACCCAAATGTTTACTTTTCACTCCATGGATGCTTGTACACTTTATTAATTTATAATATGAGAGCCAGAGCACTTTCATGGATAAAATCCACATACAAGTTGTGCTACCCCTTAAGAGAGATGGAAGTAGCAGCACAACACTTCTGTCCAGAATTTTGGAAGAGATTTGTATCACTTTTAATGGAGCACAATACTTTGTTCAAAGAAAAGTAGCAGTTGGGCACTAAACTGGCACAAAAGATGACAGTTCACAGAAAAGGGTACTAACAGAACCACTTCCTTCCACAAAACTGATCTGGAAATTCCACTGCATGGGACTCACAAAGATGCTCAAGATGGCCTGCTAAGATTCTGACAGATGACTGTCAGGAAAGGCAAGCATGAAAGCACTCCAGTGCGAAGAACACTGGAACCTTAGAGCTAACAAGCGGACATGTACTGTATAACTATTTAAGCGGATTGGATTGATGTATGGAGGACATGTGTTCCAAGCCCATTTAGCTGTGAAGCTTGGGAAGGGGCTTTCGTCAAGTAATATAAACCTCACAAGATTCCCAAGATGATAAAGATTGTAAAACACTTTGGTCAGTCAAGAAATGCATTTAAACCCCCATTGTTTAACATCAACAAAAGCAAAACAACCATGTGCACATTGTCGCCTTTTTATCACCTGTAGTTCACAATCTAAGCTCTCCACATTTTCCAGTAGTTTCAAACTCCAATGTAGTGTTGAAAAGGAGGGAATTAAAAATAGGGATGCTTACACTTGCTCTTATTTAACAGGGCTTAGTGTTGTTCTCTGCATGTTAAATAGAGAGTCTTAGAGTGTATCCAGACTGGCTGTTTTGGTGTGGGCTGGATCAGGCTGCAAAGGATTGGCTGAAGTCATGGGAGAATAGCGATGTGTCATTTGGCACATTCTTCACATCCACAACATATCAAGCTTTGTTTCAATTAAATGCTTCCCCTGATTGTCTGTAGAGGGTCAGGGGAAGCTAAATTGTTTTGTTACCTCTGCTAGATTGGTGTATCCAGACTGGCTGTTTCGGTGTGGGCTGGATCAGGCTGCAAAGGATTGGCTGAAGTCATGGGAGAATAGCGATGTGTCATTTGGCACATTCTTCACATCCACAACATATCAAGCTTTGTTTCAATTAAATGCTTCCCCTGATTGTCTGTAGAGGGTCAGGGGAAGCTAAATTGTTTTGTTACCTCTGCTAGATTGTTGCTGGTTCAATGAATCACTTTGATTAAATTTTCAAATATATTTTTCTTTGACTATTGCATTGCAGGTCAGGAAACTACCCACAGCTCCCAGTTTTGATCAGCAATACACAAAGAAACGTAAGTTTCAAATTTAATTGACACAAGTTGTATCAGTGATGGACACAATAAAAATTTCACTTCCCCAGACCCTTTGCAGATGATCAGGGAAAGCATTCAGTTTCTGATATCATTCAGGAAACTGACATCAGAATGAGCTATATAAGACTCTAGTTTACTCCATTCCAAGAGGCCACACTTGCTGGAAATGGATTACATTGGAGCCCCCCAACCTGCACAAATAGTAGAATCCCTGACAAGGGTTGAAAAAGGTGTGGGTTGGGACAAACTGGTCTGCTCAAGCGGATGCTGGAAAAAAGGTGGACCAACCCATCAATGGACCAAACAGAAGGACAAATGCCCAAGTGAACCGGTTCTTGCTCTCCTAAGCAGAAGGTGGTGTATGTGGACAGGGGGCATCTACGGTACTTCCTCCTCCTAAGAAGAAAAAGGCATACAGTACTGTAGTTTGCTTTGTTCTAGGCAAGACTGGCCTTCCACCTGGCAAAGTAAGGAAGTGGATACTAGAGTTAGTACTATCATCTCCTTTCTGTTTCCTCAAGTTAGTCTGCTTTGCACATCCCACCCACCTCCAAGCTACTGATGTCCTCAGGTATAACAGTCAATTGTGTCACATCATTACCATATTGAAGTAATATTCCATTACCAGTCCAGTTAAATCCTGTACATGGAATGGTGGTGATGGCCACATCCTGTCTTTCACCTCAGACAGCCCAAACAGCTTCAGCCGGCCCTGCTCTCCAGGTTTAAGCCAGGCTGGCTTGGGCACCTGCTCTCATCCCTGACCAGTCGCAGAAAAGTGTCCTTCTGAGTCGCCTGGGCAGAGTGACACTGCTTGGGCCGGACCTCCCCTATCCCCAGTCCTGCCCGACGTGGTGACCCTCCAGGACTACAACACCCACCACCCCCAGTTAATTCTTCTGGAAAGCACCAGACCCGCTACCTTCCTTTCAGAAGTTCAAGCGCCCGCCATTTGGGGGTAACGGTCAATAAAGGGGAAGCAGCGGAGGTGGCTGAGGGAAACACCGAAGGGCAGACTCTCCTCCTTGCCCGTTCTTTTCTTTCTTTCTCCTCACCAGGGTGAGCTTGATGCGGGTAGGGAAGGTCTTGCCGTACGCCACAGTCTGGATGAGCACGATGACCGGCGTGGTCATGGCCTTGGCCAGCTGGTAGGTGCCGATGGTGTTGTTCTGCAGCGAGAGGTTGGTGAAGACCACGAAGCCGCAGAAGCTGAGCGCCAGCGGCAGCACCTGCCGGGCCCGCAGGCTCTTCGGGGCGAAGACGCCCAGCGCCTGGCACGCGTAGAGCCCCAGCCAGGTGACGGCGAAGTGCACCAGCGTCAGGCTCAGGTTGGGGAAGCCCATCCGCACGTACAGCCACTTGTTCAGGAAGACGATGCAGATGGACGCCGCCAAGTTCACCAGCAGCCCCGCCGCCAGGCGGCCCCGCTCGGGAAGCCACCCCATGATGGGGACCGAGCCCGTCTTCCTCCTCGCCCCCGTCGTCGTCG